TCCCCGCCCGCCGCGCCCCATCCCTCTGGCTACCTGGCTCCCGGCTTTTATTTCTGTCTCTCTTCTACCCTGTTGCTTGTCACTTGGAACCGTGGCCTCGGCCTCTTTTACCCCTTGGACTTCTTATCTCGATGTTGGCTGTCATGATCTTTCCTCTCACTTGTGTTCCTGGGTGGCAACTCCGCTACCTCTCACCTGTCAGAACCCCTGAGGACCTGAAGATCTCCAAAGCCAGGACAGTGGCCCTTTCCCTGAGGCCTCATCCCTAACTCAGGTCCTGGGCAAGGAGCTGGCAAGGTCACTCATTGTCTCCCTGAACAAAAATGCCCAGTGTTTTTGAGAAGAAAGACATTGAAAACACCAAATATCTGTTCAGAGGAGGACCCAGTTCATCCTGTATTAAAAATAAATAAATAAATAAATAAATAAAGCCAAGACTACAAAGGAGAATTCTGTGACTTCTGGGAACGGGAAGATAAAATAAATGTACTTTTTTTCTATAACTTTTCGTAAATCCAACCCAAATCCTGAAAGCATAGCACAAAATGGGACGGCAGCGTCCAAGGAGTCCAGACCTTAAGGCTCAAGAAACGCGGAGGTGGTGATTCCCGGGGCTTTCTTTTTGCCTCCCCATACCTCAGTGGGGTCTTGGAGCTCCCACACCCAACCAGCACTATTGGGCCCCGGGTAGCAGTGTCAGAGGAGCCACAGTTCAACAGCAGTGAATTCTCCCACTGTGCATCCGGAGAAGCAAAAAGGGGACATCTTCGACCTGTACTTCACCTGGAACCAGGGACAGCTCTGCTTCCACCTCTTACCCTACAGAAGCAGCATCAAGAAAAGCCAGCTAGAACTGATGTTTAAATACAATTCACAATGCTCCACATGGGCAGGCTTTAATAGAAAATGACTCAGCAAGCTGAGAACCAAGATTTCAAATCGAGCAAAAAATGACACAATACAATCCCCAGATGCTAACACCGAGATGACAGAGATGTTAGAATGACATGTCAGAGTTTTACAGCAGCCACGATAAAAATTCAATTTGTCCCTCCTATCCATGGCTTCCACAGTTCCATGGATACAACTAACCTCAGAGAGTATTTGGGGAAAAAAAAATCTGTCTGTACAGAAACATGCATCAACAAACTAACCTGTCACCCCAGGCACTTACCAAAAAAAAGCAAAATAAACAGATTAAAACAGTCCGAAACGATAAAGAGGAGAAATCAATGAAATTTAAATCGAAAAATGGTGACCAAAAAAGATGAAACAAAGAGTTGCATCTTTGAAAAGATCTGTAAAATTGTCAGACACTTATCATGATTGATAAAAAAACTGAGAAGGTACATATTGCTTGTATCAGTCACAAAATCAGAGATAGCACCATAGGTCTTCAAAATATTAATAAGAGAATACTCTGAACAACACTGTATACAAATATTTGATAGTTTAAAGGGATGAGGTTAATTTCTTTAAATGCACAAACTTAATGGTGCCTATCCCTCCTTCAAAAAAAAAAAAAGTTGTTGAAATCCTAACATACAGTACCTCATAATATGACTTTTAAAATATAAGATCTTTTCAGATTTAACCACGATGAGATGAGATATTCAAGAGAGCCTTAACTGAGTATGATTGGTGCCCATGTAGAAAGAGTGTATTTGTACATAAGCACGGAGAGAGTGATGGTGGTGGAAAGAGATTCGTGACAAATATCACAGGATAACGGAAGCAGAGATTAGAATTATATTGCCACAAATGAAGAAGGGAGTCTCAGGAAGCCTCCTTCTCAAGAGGTTTCATAGGGAGCATGATCTTGCTGTCACCCTCATTTTGGACTTTTAGTCTTCAAACATTTCTCTTTTTCTTATCACTCAGATTCAGGTACTTTGCTAAGGTAGCTACAGGAGACTGATATATTAGTTAAACCAATCTGATATAAAATGGATCATTTGAGTAGCACTGCTCCCACTAAAGAGAATGACTTTTAAACCAAAGAAAATTCTTTTAAAGAATTTAAAGGTGTGTTCCCGAGAGAATTCTATCAGATGTTTAAAGAAAATTTAAGAATTATTTGACATAATCTCTTGCAAGAAATAAAAAAGAAGCAAATGTTTTCTGATGCATTTAATCAGGTGGGCATGTCTTGATACCTAAATCAGAGAAACAAAAACAAAAACTGCTCACTAACATTCCAAATACAGAAGTCCTTAGGAAAATATTAGCAAATAGAATTCAGCGGTATATGGAAGGAATTATAGATCAGAGTGGGGGTTATTTTAGGGATGCAAAGATAGTTCAGTATCTAAAAAGCAATCAGTGCAATCTGCTACATTAACAGGCTAAAAAAACCCTGCATAATCACATCAATCTGTGCAGAAAAAACTTTAGACAAAATTCAACATTTTTAATGAAAAATTCAGAAAAGTAGGAAGAGATAGAGACTTATTCAGCTAGATAAAGAGCATCTAGCAAAAACAATAGTCAACATTATATTTTAAAGTGAAAGATGGAATTGTTCCCTTAAAATTGAAAACAAGGCAAGGATGTCTACTTTTCTTCAACATAGTATAATAAGCAAGAAATATAAAGAATAAAATTTTACCTACTTGTAGAATACATAATTGTCTATTTTGAAAATCCCAAGGAATATATTTTTTAAATCTGACTAAACAATTCTGGAACAAGAAAATTATTTCAAGGCCATAGGACACAAAACGAACATGTAAAAATCAGCTGTATTTCTCTATAATTGTAGTCAATACATGGACACTGAATTTAAAATTGTAAATTTACCCAAGAAATGTAACGCTCAGCTGCAAATCTAGCAAAACATGCACAGGACTTGTGCTTGAAAACTACAAAATATCGACAAAAGAAATCAAAGCAACTCTAAATAAACAGAGAGATTTGCTGCTCTCGTGACTTGGAGGATCCATCTCAGAAAAGACTCTAATTTTCCCTTAACACGTGCTGGTTCAACGCAGTTTGTATCAAAATCCAGTAAGTGCTGTAAATGAGTACAAAAAGGTGATGGTGGTGGATGGAATCAAGAGCTAGGAAGAGGCACGAGGGAGGAAGGGGAAAGAGAATGAAGAAGCAAATGAAGATGCTTTGTGTACCTGATAACAACATCCTGCAAGGGATATAAATAGGAACACATCCTAACAAATAAAAACCCCAGTAAGTTTACTTTGCAGATACAGATCATATTATTCTACAATACACACAGAGAGGTAGAAAAACAGAATAGCTAAATCAAGAATGAGAAATTAGATTCATTCATAGGAAAATGGATACATATTGAGGATATACTCCTAAGTGAAACAAATAAGTCACACGTGTAAATACCAAATAGGTCCTCCAGTGTGAAAAACTATAATAGCACATAAGATCCCAATGAGATAATTGACAATGTGAAATAGGAAGAAAAGGGCTAAAGGTGTGGGGAAAGTGGGAAGGGTAGTGGAAGGGGAATAAAGGAAAAGAAAAAATATGACAAAATGAAAAAACGGAAATGAAGCATTTGTAAATGGGGAGGGTAGGAGGTGGTGAATAGAGGGCAGGGACAAGGGGAAAAACGAGAACCAAGACCTGTCATGTAAAGGTACAAGATCCTAATAATGAATGTAACTGTACTGTATACCTAGAATGTACCAATAAAAATGAGGGAAAAAGAAAGAAGAGCTAAACCAGTTTTGACACAGAATGAAGTGTTGGGAGTCAGTCTTCAGTATTTTAAGACATGATGGATTATCAACAGAGTGAAATGGGAAAAAAAGTCCCCAAATAAACTACACAAACATGCCCAATTGTTTTTTCCACAAAGATCCGAAGGAATTCAATAGATTAGTCTCTTTCATATCTAATATTGAAACAAGAACAAAATGAATCTTGACCAAGTTTCTCCATGTAGAAAATTAATTTGTAATAGGTCACAGATTTAAATGTTAGAAGCAAAGCTATAACATTTTCAGCATAAAACACTGGAGATAATCCTTGGATTCTAAAGTTGGGCAAAGGTTCCTAAACTTGACACCAAAAGCACAATCTATAAAAGGGAAGATTGATAAATTTTATTGAAGTGGTTTCAAGAACTTTTGCTGTGAGAAACAACCTGTTAAGAAAATGCAAAGACAAGTCACTCATCAGGAGAGAATATTTGCAAAGAAGTTATTGATGAAAGACTAGTACATAGAACATGTTTTGAAAACCTGTCGAAACTCAGCTATAAAAAAAGTACAGCAAGAAAAGGGTAAAGGTCATAAACATGCTTCTCATGGAAGATTTATGAATAAAAACTGAAACCATAAAAATATGTTCAACATTATTATCCAGAATATACATTAAAACCACAATAGTATCTCACTATAAACCTATCCCAATACCTAAAATAAAAAATTGTAACAAGACCAAGTGTTGTAAGGTTATAGAGAAATTAGGCACTTGTCACTTATTTAATAGAGGTGCGAATGTAAAATGTAAAAATCATTCTGGAGCAAGGTGGTAGTTTCTCTTTTTCTTTCTTTTTTTTTTTAGTACCGGAGATCAAACTTGGGCCCTTGTGCTTGTGAGGCAGGCACCAGAACCACTGAGCTAAATTCCCAGAAGGTAGTAGTTTCTTAAAACACTAAACATGCTAGAATCACATGGTCCATCAGTTCTATTCCTCTGCATCTCTTAGAGGAAATAAGCCTTATGTTAACACAACA